AGTAAGGCCTTGTCACTGTGGCTTTTACTGCACAGCCCCCTCGGTGGAGGTGAGTCTCGGCACTTACCAGTGGAAAGATTCCAGGAGAGCAGCCAGCCGTGGTTAGCGGGCCAGGGCCACATGCTGGGGTGCCAGGGTCCAGGGTGCAGATGGCTTTGAGTGGGCACACTCTGCCCAGGCCCTGCCTGGGGGTGGACTGGAGCCCCTGGTGGTCCAACGCTCTCACTTTTCAAATAAGGAAACTGAGAGGCACAAGTGAAAGGCTTTCCCTGGAGCCCACAGCAAGGTGGTGACAAATCCAGGACCCCCCCCCCCGCAGGCCCTCGGCCTCCTGGTGTTGGCTGTGGTTCTGCGGATACCAGCTGCCCAGTGCCCCATCTGGAGTAGCCCCAGGAAGAATCCACTCTAGCACAAGGCCTGCCACCTAAGGCACWGATGGACTCAAAGCCTGTGGCCTGACTCCAGCTGGGACCCGGGGAAAATCACAGGATTCCTCCCTGAGAACCAAGCACAGGGCCCCAGGGGCAGCGCCCTGCGCGGCGGTTCCTGAGGACATGAGACCTCTGCATCGGATTTGCTTTTGAGTTTTCAACAGAAACCTCCAGTGCACTTGCTGTGCCCTTCAAGAGCCAGGGAAGCGGGGGCGGAAAGGTCCCCTCAGGCTCCTTCCCTTCTTTGGCCTGGTCCCAGGTCCTAATGCCGCGTGCACTAGTCTAGCGACAGGGGAGGGTGCTGGGGGTGGGGGTGGGRTGACAGGTAGATATGGGAAAGAAGACCATGACAGTACTGATTCTGGGTGGACCAAGAAGCCACCCAGGTCCCCACTCTTGCTCTACCTCCAAGGCTGGGCAGCTCTGTGCTGGCCGTGAGACCCACTGAAGCATGTAGCAGGGACGCATCTGGGCAGGTTGGGGTGGACTGGAGGAGGTGAAGCAAGGCCCAGAGCCTACAGAAGTTGCTGTGGAGGCCCAGCCAGCACCTGGAGGGCCTGCACCCCTCCCGAGCCAGCACAACAGGAAGAGGAAACCCGGGCTCCCACTGCCCTGCCTGGGAGCCAGTGAGTCCCCTCCATCAAGTCTGTGGTCAGCCTTCAAAGTCCTGACCCGACACCTCCGGGCGGCCCTCACAGTTCCCAGGTTAGCAGTGCTTTACCTGGGTGCCCAGGGCACCTGACCCACAGGATGACTTTGGTTAGTCTCTCCTGGGCTCAAATCCGAGCTCCACTTACAAGTCACATGACCTTGGTTGGGTGAACTCCGCCTCAGGTGCAGATGTTGCTTAGAGAACAGCAGCCAGAAGTCCCCAGACGGCAACAACGGATGCTCCCGTGGGACCCCCAGAGCAGCCAAGGAACAGCCTCATGTCTGCCCAGCACCACCTCCTTCAACTCACCTCCCACCTCCAGGCCCAACTCGAGCCACTCAGGTAAGAAACTGATCACGAATTGCAACATCAAACCCCCAAATACGAGAACAAGAGAGGGCCGAACCACAGCCAACCTCTGTGCTCTTAGGATCAGAAATGCAGAGCCCGCTGGCCAGGTGCTGGGACAGTTTCACACTCCCCGAAGGCAGAGACCAGAACCAGCTCCTCATTCTCCAGGGTCAGCAGGATGTGATGTCTTGGCACAGTTCACCTCTTCTAGACAGAGAGGGGCAGTGGATCTGGGGGGTGGCGGAGATTCCCACGTAAGCAGGAGCACCTCCAAATCCTGGCCCTACACCCCGCCATGCTCTTTAGTAGAGCCAGCCCAGGACGGATGGAGTGCTCAGCTGGACCAAGGGGCAGCCAAAGGAGCCTTGTCCTGGGAAGGACAGTGGATCCCTCCTGTCCTCAGCCCATAGGAGACTAAGGCACAGATGTGCTGACCATCCACCTCTAGGCCAGTTTTACCCCCACGAAAGCAGACACCACCCGGGAAAGGCTGCTGTCTCCTACAGTCCCATCTTCTCTTCTCTAGAAGGGTCCACAGCTTGGGCCACCCCCATTTACTTGCAAGAGACCCTGTGAGGGTGGCACCAGCAGTCTCTGCTCAGAGGGACATGGTGCTCTGCCAGAAAGCCCTTGATCCAAACAACTTTATGAGCCGTCCATCTAAAAGCATCAATGAGAACTGCATCTGCTGTGTGTCCTCCTAGACAGAAGGCGGAGGGACAGGCCTCCTGGGAAAGCTCATGCTTCCTGCTCCGCCGAACTGACCTCCCGAGACAGATCAGGAGTCTTCGTTCCCAGTTTCCTGGGGGATGAACTTCTGCATCACAATCATAGCTGCCTAGATTCCAGAATCCCACCGTTCAGGGGGCAGATGCAGGCGGCAGACAGAGACAGGAAGAAAGAGATCTCTGACTAACCCATCCTCCCCTGAAAGGCAGTGTGGGGAGGCTCGAAGTTCAGAGCTGTGTCTGATTACTGACCCCAGAACCACCCTGTCCCAACCAGCAGAGTCCAAGCTTTCGGAAAAGAATCAGGACCCCCAGACCCTGACGGCTGCACTCCTGTGATTACAGACTCTAGGGCTCCCTCTGAACTGAGCCTCCATCACCAAAGCCGCAATACAGAAGGACACGGGGCTTCACCTGCCTCCCCAGCCCACCACCCACAAAGGTTTGGCTGCACAAGGCCCCCACTGGAGGCCCCAGCGGATCGCCCAGACACATGGGGCTGCCTGACGTCTACCAGCTGGTTTTGCAGATGATCTGAGTTCCTCGTGGGGCCTCCTGGACTTGGACCTTTAGGCAGGACTTTCTGAGCACCACAGAAGCRTGAAGAGAACATGTTAAGCACCCAGTTAATTGGGAAACCAAGGGGAAATCTGAAGAACACAGTCCTGCCCTAACTCCAGCCTCTACTCAGCAATGCTGGCAAAGTAGCCAAACCTGACTGTGTGACTCCACAGAGCTAACACCCCTGCTCCCCACAGACACAGTCAAAGGTTGGTATGTCCATACAGAGGAATAGTACTCAATAAGGAAAAGGAAGTACTGACATAGGCAAGAGCACAGCTCATACTAGCACAACACTGATGGAAAAGCCAGATCAAAGGAGATTGTACTGCATGACTTAATTTTATATTAAGTTCTAGAAGCAAAACTCATCTTCAGTCAAAAAAACCCACAAACCATCAGAATAGTGGTTACCGTGGTGGGGGTAGGGCTTCTGTCTAGGATGCTGGAAACCTACATCTTGGTCCAGGTGATTACACAGGTGTTCTCATGCCCCAAAACTTCAGCTTACACTTAAGATTAGTGAACATTATACACGTGTGCAATACATATGTAACAAACATGATGTACATATACACAATTTAGAAGTTTTTTTATGGCAAAGCCCATTGACGTTCAAATGATAAGTGAGTCAGTGCCCTGGGAGCTGAGGGACAGGAGGCCCATTCACAAACTTCAGGACCCATCTCAAATTGTCCCCATCCTGTGCAGTAACTAAAAGCACTTATTGCTGAGCTTCCCTTCACAAAAACCGATCTTTAAACTGGGAGGTGATCTTGGAGGACTGCAGGAACTTATTGCATCAAGCATCGGTTACTACATGCTCAACAAACACCCGGCAACTGCCTAACACAGTCTACACACACACACACACACACACACACACACACATGTGCACACACAGAGCCCAAATTAAATGCCATCTCAGCAAAAGATGACAGTGTCCACTCCTAAATAGGGTGTCTATTCCTCTCAGGCAACAGGATCTAGGCACTGGGCTTATTATCAAAAGGATCGTTTTCAGCATGCTCTGTCCAACCCTCCTCCTTYGACACAAATCACAGCCAGAAGAGATCAGAGGAGTCCAGAGCAAACAGTCTCCGGTGCCCACACCAGGAGGCTGCCTGCTCCTTTTCAGGTCACCTCTGTCTGCATGGCTCCTGCCCAACCCAGGGGTGGAGCAGGCCCACGTGAGCTCCCAGGAAACTTTTTATCAGGTGTAATGTTTAAACTTGGCTGCTCCCCACCCCCCACACCCAGCTGGCCTGCTACCCACCCGGGTTCCCCGTCCCCTGGCAGCAATGCCACTTCACCTGATGGGGAAGGGCACCACCCACCGTCCCCCAACCCCTGCCCAGGCCTCCGGCTCCTTCCTAGGCACCTCCACCTTGGAGACTCTGGACCCCAACGTTTGCAGGGAAAGAGACTAGAAACTTCGCCTGCACAGGTCAAGGTGGGTGTCCACAGGCCGGAAGTGGAATTCCAGCTCCACAAAGCCCACAAATGGAAAGAGAAAGGGCTGAAAGGCACTTGCACCAAGAGAGCTCTCCCTGGAGTTGGTAGTTGGGGGACAAGTATGGATGATTTTCTTTTTCCCCTTCAAGTATTTCTTGGGCTTTCCAAGTTCTCACACTGAATAAACTCTCTGGAAAGACAAACGCGCTTCTCCTGTGGCTCTGCTGCCCGTGGCCCGTGCCAGGCAGGCTGCCAAGGCAGGCTCCCATGGAGTTTTTCTTTCACCTAGTCCCAGCTCCTCAAGGTACAGACTCTGGTGCCAGCCTTCGTGCCCAGGTGGGTGCGGGATCGAGGACAGTCCTCTGCCCTGGGCTCCTTGGAGAGAGGCTTGGGAAAGTGGCAGACTTGGACTGGGTGGCCTGACCCTTCTCTCCAGCCCACCCTCCGGGAGGCGCCGCTCCCCTGCGTGACAGGCCCCAGGGCACTTGGAAGTGTGCTGATCCTGTCTCCTGTCCCACAGGCTCCTACTAGTTGCACTTCTCCCCTCCCTGACCTGGGCCATCGCCCCCAAGTGCCCACGCGCAAACTTCTCCAAAGTCGCAGCTGGAGGGAGGTGGTGACGTCCCCTAAAGAAAACAGGACCCCCTACACACTCACACAAACACACACACACACACACACACACACACACACACACACACACGCCCCCGCCCGGGCCACTGCAGGTCCGGCGCTGGGGCCACTCGGGCTCCGGGGGCGGCGCCCCAGCCCCCACCCGGCGGCGGCGCGGCGCGGTGGGCGCGGGCGCGGCGGCGGCGTTACCTTGCAGGTTCTGGACTCGGATGTCGCTGATCTGTCCGATGAGCTCCTCGCGCTGGAACCAGTCCCATTCGTGCGCAGCCATGAAGCGCGGCGGGCCGGGCGGCGGCGGGCGCGGAGATCGGGCGGCGGGCGCGAGCGGCTCGCACCCGGCGAGGGCGCCGCGGGGCCGGGGCGGGCGGGCGGGCGGGCGGCCCCCGCCTGGGCCGGGGCGGGCGGCGGCGGCGGGCGCGGGGCGGCGTGCGGCGCCCGGCTGCGCTCACTGCCCCGTGCGGGGGCGGGGCGGGGGCCCCGGGCGCGGGAGGGCGGGGCGGGAGGCGGCGGCCAAGGGCCGGTTCCTTTTTTTCCSCCGGGGTGTGCGTTGGCTGGATTGTTGGGTCGCAAACGGGCGGTGATGAGGCGCGGGGTCCCAGCCCCCCAGATTGTGATGTCTCAGGGTGCGCTGGGCCGGGTGACGCAACCGGGGGTCGCCGGCGCGCAGGGCGCAGGACTTGGCCGCGGAGGCCTGACCAGCGCCCCGTCCCACTCTGCACCCCATCCGCGGGCCCCAGCCTGCACCGGAGCCCGGCCCGGCCCTCACTCCCCGGGGCCAGGGACAGTGGCAAAGGCCCCTAGTGTGGGCGGTGGGGGGCCTTCAAAAGAGGGCCACAGGAGAGGGCGAAGTAGAGGGGAGCCTCCAAAGGGCCACCACGGGAGGGGACCTCTTTCCTTGGTTTAGCCGCTGAAGCCATTTCCAGTTCAGAGAGGGACCCAAGCTTCCCAGAGACGCCTAACCTCCGCTCCCACTCAGTCTCCAAGAGTCCCTTGGGACCTCAGTAAAAATGTGGACACACCTTTCTGGGTCCCCTCCCCCGTTTCTTGTAACTCTGGAGAATTCCTGGGTCTTATCGCGTTTGGGGTCACAACTCTGTGAACTTCAGTCAAAGAGCTCTTTATGGRTTGCACACAGAAAGAGTGAGGCCTGGGGGCATGGAATTTGCTGAGAAATGACTTAGGGGCCTGTGCTCAGTGCTTGCTCTGCCTGTCGGACATCTAGGGCCTGACAGAAAATGGCTGTCGGTGTGGAGGATTCCAAGAGGGGGACGAGTGGGCAGGGCAAAAACCGGCCAACATGTGTTGGTCATGGCTGTTGGCGGTGAGCACTGAGTACTGGAAGCTCAGCTCCTCTTTCCTCAGCCTCTGTGGAGGCTCCTGAGGCACAGGCCTGTGTCCTTGAAACAGGCCCTGAAGGAGAGTGAGAGGTCCCCTCAGGTCACCCAGGTGAGCTCCAGAGAGGGGAAGATCCACTTGGGCTAAGGAGCTGGGGTGGAGATGGGAGTCAGCAGAGGGGCTAGGAGGACCTTGGAGCTGGGCCAGAGAGAGGAGAAGTCCCCCCGCAAGGATCCCCCATCCCAGGGGTCCTATCAGGGGCTCGGCCCTGAGCTCAAAGCCCCCCTGAGGCAGGATCAGACTTTCCACTGCCTAGATTCACACTCACGTGGTCATTTCACCCTGGAGGGAGCAGGTCTGTGTCTGCCTCCTGCAGAGCCAGGGTGGTAGCCAGGCCTCCCCCGCCCCATTGCGCCCTATCTGCTAGCCGTCTTCCTGTTCTTACTCTTCATTTTATTTTCCATAATTGTTACAGGCTGAAGTTGCACTGAAAATTATTCTTCTGGAAAGCAAATGGCCAAGAGAATCAGGCTTCCTCTCCATCATGGGGTGGGGGGCAGGGAGAACCTGGCTTTGAGCAGAGCAGCGTGTGTGGGCGTGTGTGTGGGGGTACCAGCCGCAGGCTGGGCCACTGTGGCTGATTCAAGTGAGGTTCCTGGGCATGGGAGGCCTGGTCTTTGGGGGAACATTGCCCAGGTAGCTACAGCTCCTGCAGGGCCAAGATCCTCATCGCTTGAGCACACACTGGATACCAGGCATTGCACCCTCCGCCTCAAGGTCTGCTTTTCTGGAAAGTTTTCAAATGGCATGGGGGCCGCACTGGCACTTTGCACTCCCTACAGCCATCTGAGTGGTGGCAGGTCCCTTAAGAGCCGGGCCAATGGGAGGGCCCAGATCTTGYTGGGGATGTTTTCCTCAGAAGAGATTAAGGTAATTCTGGCTCACATGGGATCTCTCTTCGTTACTCACACTCCTGCCCTGATGCCTCCACCATGATGTGATGTAGCCGGGGTCCCTCACCAGAGCTGGCACTATGCTATTTGGACTTTCAGCCTCAAATGCTGTGAGCTAAATAACCCACTTTATAAGTTAACTAGCCTYGGGGATTTAGTTATAGTGACAAAAAATGGGCAAACATACCTGATCACCTCCAGACCTTTGCTTAGCTTGTTCCCTTTGAAATATGTTCATCCTCTCCTGTCTGCATTTATCTTTTCCTAGCTGATTCCTCAGTCATAGCCACCTCAAGAGCACATTTTCCAACGTTGGTTTCTCGCTGGGTCAGCTGAGTGCCCGTCTGGTAAGTATTCACATAGTATTTGGTACTATGTTTAATAATACCCATGAACCCTGCTACCCTATGTCTGTACCACATGGTAATTATGTTTACTTGGTGGTTTTCCCCAGTCATCTGTGAAGTGCTTGAGATCAAGGTTGTGTCTTATTCGTTTCTCTATCTGAGCCCTTAGCACAGTGCCTGACACAGAGAGAGTTCTCAATATTGAACAAGTGGATGACAGACTGTTCCTCACTGTTGGCCTGAGCTGAGAGAGCAAGAGGTCAAAACAACCAGCAGTTGATCCTCACGTCATGGACCCCAGTAAACTTGTAGGGAGGTGACCAAAACTTGTTTGCATATTTGCCACGGGCAAAGTACATAGGATCGAGGGACAGGCAAATACGGAGATACACAATGTCCCTTCCTTGGGGTGTGGGCAGCCTTCTGGGGGAGGGGTGTGTGCTTCCACAGGGAAGTGGGCACTTGGCATCTTGCGTGAATTAACAAGACTCTTTCTTGTACATTTTTTTAGGGGGGGAAGGAAAAGTACTCTGCCCCAGGGCTTGGCTTCCTGGGAGTTTCCAGAAACTGATTTTATAGACATTGCCGGGTTCTTCTAGAATGCTAGTCATTGTTTAAAACCAATTTCTGCCAAGGAACAGGACTGGAGGAGTCAGAACCACAGAGGATCTGTGGATGGATCTGAGAGATGACTGGCTCCAACATCCCCCACCCCACATGAGGGCTCCAAACCTCCTGCCTCTGCTTGTGGGGACTAATGAACCAGGGCAGGGAGCCCAGCAGACTGGCATCTGTGTYGCCCACCCCCACTTCAGGAAAGTCAACCCCAGTGTCCCCTTCCAGCCACTTCCCAGGGAGTCCTGTGATGGGGACAGCAGCCAGAGGGGAGCTGCTTTCTTTGGATACAGCTGTGACCCTTTATGTGGGCACCGCCCTGCAGGGTTGGACAGCCCCTCCTCAGCTGGTGCTCAGCTGGTCTTCACAGTGACATTGGGAGGTCACAGGGGCCSGGATCCTTTTTAGTTGGGGCTAAATCTGCTAAGTAACCAGCCCAGGGCTGCAGAGCAAGGCTGAGCCTGTCTGTCCTGTGGTCTCGCAGCCTGCCCACGGCTCTTCCAAATGTGACTAGACGAGGATGATGCCGTGGACCAGACGGACACTCAGCCGTGTAGCATTAGTCATATGTCTCCGGCATGTTTGGGTGATATTTTTCTAAAGTTTTATCTCCGTTGGAATCATAGCAGTTGTCAGTGTATAAAAACCTTCAGGAATTTCAAATGATGTAAGATCTTATAATAGGTCCTATCGAGGCGGACCAATGTGTATTCTTCAAATAGGTCAAAAGCCTCTCCTGTGCAGGGGCCTGATTATGATGTCACGGGCTGCAGCACGGCAGAGACTCCTGGCCTGGTTTATTCATTCGGCAAACATTGGTTGAAAGTCTAGGTGGCCTGGGTCTGTGCTCAGACCCAGCTATGCACAGGTTCTTGGTGGTGTGGCCTGGCTCCTGACCCACGAGTGATGTGGTAGTGGCCTTTACCAAGCAGCAGTTGTGGGGCCAGAGTGTTGAGCTGTTGGGACAGTGGGATGACAGTGCCTGGGGCTGGGTCAGGAATTTCTCGGCACTCTCCACGAGTACTTCTGCTTCCAGGACCTCATCGTCTGCCATGCCCACTGTTCATCAGCTTTCTGTTACTATCACAAATAACCTTGAGATCATCAACTTATTAATAGAACAAGTTTGCTTTGTCTTACGATGTTAGAGGTTTCAGCCCGTGATGGGTTGGCTCCTGTGCTTTGGGTGAAGCAGGGCATTATGGCAGGAGAATGGGGCAGAGGAAGACCACTCACTTCATGGCCCAGAAAAGAAAGAGGAAGGAAGGACCCAGGGCCCCACATGCCCTTTGAGGACATGACTCTTAGTGACCTAAATACCTCCCTCCAGGCCCCACCCCTTAAAGGGCCAAGTGCCTCCCAATAGCCAGTACTGCCAGGTTGGGAAACAAGCCTGTACCCCATGGACCTTTAGATCCCCTCACTCTAAGCTCCTGGAGAGTGCCTTGGGAGTGGGCGAACTCATCTTGAATCACCAGAACACAACCCTACTGGGCCCCAAGTAGTCCTCAATCCATGCTCGCACAAGCAAACAACTCACACTTCATTTTACCAAGTCGTGACTCCTGATACTCATTGAACCCTGGGTACCTAAGGAAGGTCAGGGTCCCCCGGGTACCTTAAATATGTCAAGTGCACAACCCGTACACTGATTTTTTTTTTTCCTGTCAAATGTCACTACCAGTTGCCTCCTTCCTCCAGGAATCCTGTGCAACATGACATGCCAGCTGGTATCAGGGGACATGCTGGGACATAGAACCCAGCAGCCAGCAAAAAGACAGAGGACGTTTCCTGTAGGGCATAGTGGACAGAAGTAGAGGTTCTAGTCTTCCTGTGGCCACCTACGAGCTGTGTGACCTCAGGCTAGTTCTTAACCTCTGTGTTTCTCTGTGCCCCCGACTGTAAAATGGGAYCCACAGCCTCCACCTGGCAGGATAGTATGAGGCCATAGATATGCGTATAGAGAAGAGACGCTTCAGGAAGATTCAGACCGTTTCTGCAGCACCAAACGGACCACATSAGAAGAAGACCTGCCCTGACCGTGGAAGAGTACCTATAATATGGAAG